AGTTTTATAAACTTACTTGCATATTTTGGAACAAAAGAGTCAAAATAATTACAAGTATGTGCTTTCTGAATAATCCCAAGTTTGAAGGAGGTTAGTTCTACATTTGGAGGCAGGAAAGCAGCTTTCCCTTTTCCACTAACAAAGCATCAGTTTGATAATTGCTATTAGACTCTTCTCTTGAAAGACAACCATGAAGATTAATGCCACTTTGGTGGGTTTCTATTTTTTTTAAGGCAATTCTGCACTGTATTTATTTGAATGCTATGACACGAGAACAGAGAGCTGGCACACAAAGCCCAGCATGCTGACTCAGCGATGCAGCCATGGAATGGTAGAGGCCAATGGGCTCATTTATGTATGCGGAGGGAGCCTGGGAAACAATGTTTCTGGAAGAGTCCTGAATTCCTGTGAAGTTTATGATCCAGCCACAGAAACGTAAGTGTTAAGTCAGGTTGGCTTTAGTCACTTGTGTCTTTGCTAGCTCTGTAAATGATTGAAGTATAGATGACTACAGGAAAAACTCTGGTAAGGAGTTTTTCCTGAATCAGCATTAAGAAATCAGTTCTTTGTAGTTCTACTTGAAAGATGGTTTTTCTTAAGCAGCTTTGTTCCATATTTTATTTTCCTAATGATAGGTTATACTTACTTTCTATGAAGCAGATGGTGATTTGTCCTTTTCTGTTTGATTTATTTTCCCCAGGTGGACTGAACTGTGTCCAATGATTGAAGCCAGAAAGAATCATGGGCTGGTGTTTGTAAAGGACAAAATATTTGCTGTGGGTGGACAAAATAGTTTAGGTACTTTAATTCTGTTAATTCTCTAGCTGGTCACACATGGTTTCATGGACATTTTTTCTTTTTTGGAATGAATTCATTCCACTCTGTTCAGCTGAAAAGCTTTGAGCAGCACCATCAAACGTGTCCTGTTCTTGTCACATCAGTGTTGCCTTCTTCCTTTCACCTTCCCACTTCACTGTTATCTTACTTTTCAAATTCTCGTACTAATGACAGTCAAGTTCAGATATGCACCCCTACTGTAGTCCAGTTAATTGAAACAGTTAATATGGCTAAACCAGGCATCTGAGAAGATTTTTGGTTTGTTTTTTATTTTGGGTTTGTGGGTTATTTTTAGTTATTCATGTGTTTTCAGAGATTTTAGCATTCTTTTGAGAGACAGGTAAAGGTGTAGCCACTATTTTAGGAACTATAGTCTCAGACTAAATATAGTCTGGTATTGTAAAATGGTGAAAATGTGAGACCTCTTGAGTTCTTTAGTTTTGAAATACAATTTACTGTCATGGCCAGGTCAATTATGATCTGTCTGTTTCCTTGTCTTTAAAACTAGAAGAATACTTTACAAAGAAGAATTTAATTTTAGTTGCACAGGGTTTGTGAAATGCTTTTCAAAATGGAAAGTTCTCATTAATGAGGTTTTTTAATCGCTATTTATGGTAAGTGGAATACTTTATTTCAGATGAATTCTATTTTAGAATATAGCTTGATTTTTGATTGGCTATGGAAACTATTCCATCATGATTGATTCTTAATGCAAAAGTAAGAGATACATTTGTTGCACAAACATTTTATCAATCTGTAATCTGCCATCTTGCAAAATACAAATGTATTCACTGAATGCTCCTCTTAGAAGTGTTAAAAATTGTTCTTACTGGAATAAAACGAAGAAAAGTTGTCTGGGGTGAAAAACTCTTACCTATTAATATATGATAGATTTCTTAATCTCTCAGATCTAATAATTCAGTACTGGAAGTGAAAACTGAGTTAAATAGGGACAGCAGGATGTGTGTAGCTATTGTCAAGTGTAATTACTACCATATTTCCTGAAGAAGCAAATCTTAGTCACCAAATCTACTCATCTCTAATAACTTTTGGTTCCTTTTGCCCTTTTCAAAGGGACTTAGGCTTCTACACTTTGATGATTTAAGTATCATCATGATGAGAGACCTCCTCTATCAGTCAATGGCCAGTTTTAGTAAAGGTACCCATGAGCCCTCTAGAATGAAATGCTATTGCTATAGGGAAGTTTCAGGTAATTCCTCACTTTTAGTCACTAGCCCCAAATCCACCAGAAATTCAACATATAAAATTCTTCTGTTCGTGAAATAACATGTTGGAATCTCTAGAAAGCATCTAGTGTGAATTTGTTAGAGTACATCTTACTTTCTATCTCCTTTTCACTTTGCTCATGTTTTCTATTTATTATACAAGGATAAGCTGCTAGTTTAGAAACTGGGGTATATTTTCAGATTTGCTTTTTTAAGTGTAGGGTTTTTGAAACCGTGAAAATAAAAGATTTAAGTTTGCATGCTCTAGTGCAGTCCATACAGTGCAACATAATCAGTTATCTATCTCATTGCTTTGTAGGTGGCCTTGATAATGTAGAATATTACGATATCAAGATGAATGAATGGAAGATGGTGTCTCCAATGCCATGGAAAGGTGTAACAGTGAAGTGCGCTGCGGTGGGATCTATAGTCTATGTCCTGGCTGGTTTTCAGGGTGTTGGTCGCTTAGGGCACATTCTTGAATATAACACTGAAACAGACAAGTGGATAGCCAACTCCAAAGTCCGTGCTTTCCCAGTGACAAGTTGTTTAATCTGTGTTGTAGACACTTGTGGGGCAAATGAAGAAACTCTAGAGATCTGAAGACTGTAGGAGATGCCAAGGCATTCTTCAAGGACTTGGGAAAAGATGGTTATTGGTGGTTTGCTTCCATGTTTTACTGAATCATGTCAAATTTAGTAGCAGGAAAAGAAATGAGATGCAGTCTTTCAATTTGTATATACAGCATATTATATAATGTGGATTTTGTCATGCCCATTTTCTTATCTGTTTTAAAGAGATGGGGATGTGTTTTGAGAATCCACTTACATAGGTGATATCACATGGCATCTTCCTTTAAAAGGACTGTGGGTGTGGCCTTGTCAAACACAAACTCAGTCCAAATATTTAGAATGCCTCTAAAGCATTTGATGAAGAAAAAAATTCTGGTTAAATTACATTTTACCAAGATCAGTTGCAGAGACACTTCCTGTAATGAAGGTGAGTAAATACAGCTTGGCTTATTGAGAAAGAGGAACAACTATTTTTTCTCCTTCGTACCTACCTGCAGAAATCTTACTGGGATAAAATGAAGATATTTTCTCAGGAAAGACCAAGGACTGCTGTCTAATAAAGATTCCCAAGGTTTTAGCAGCTCTCTAGATCATGATAACTGCCCTCTTCCAGTGAGTTTCTTCCATCATTTGCATGACTGCTTATCAATTCTTTAAGGTTGGAGAGGCCATACATAGAAATTAGAGGAACACTTTAATGGTCTCTTTGGCATTTTATGGAGCTTTCTCAAAAAGACTTTTTGATTTTATTTTTTTTATTACACTGAGGTAGGGAATGTGGGTCAAGTCGACGAGAATTGTGCACTATAATTAGCAAGTTGGAAACTTGGAAAGAATTTTCAATCTATCTTCCCAGGCATCAGACTGTAGATGCCAAATCATTAGCAAACATGGGAACAGGAATGAGAAAAGCAAAGTCAATACAACAGATATATTGATTTTCTTCTTGAAAATGACTGTTTTTAAAATGGCATGAACCAAGTCATTAAAGGTACTTTACAGAAGTCTTCAGAAGTTGCGCATGGTTATTCATCTCTGGTTAAGAAGCACAGAATTTTGTAAATGCTTCCAGCCCACATGATGGTAAATTTCTTCATGCAGCCTCCCAAGTCCAGCCTCTCAAGCTCTGGGTGTCACCGATGTGGTGTGCTTCTTCCCAGTTCTGGAAAATGATACAAATGATATCTGTCCTGCTCCCGTGCTAGTTTATTCATAGCTGCATCATAGTTACATCACCTCTCTTCTAACCTGCTGGTTTTTTCAGGTCTGTTTCTATGAGACTAGTGAATTAACTTCAAAAGTTGGTGCTTGCCTACCTCTACCTCGCTGGTGCTGTGGATGTTTAGTCTGTTTTAGTTCTGAAGTTCCTCCAGCTTCTCCTAAGTAAATCCTGGTTTTTCAAAGTCAGTGCTTCTTTATAGGCTTGTTCCTCGTTTCCTTCCTCATTCTGACAACTCTGCCTGTACAGACAGGACTAGATGTACTCACGGCCTCCATTATGGTTCCTGCAACTCCGTTCTTTATTCAGCAGTAAGTGAAGGGCATGATACTTTTTTTTCTGTTTTTCCGTATCTTTTCAGTCGTATCCATGAAACGCGTCCCTGGTGTCTCCACTCCTTGATTCCGAACTACTGGAGTCCCGGGGGCAACCGTGTGCTTTTTAGACTGGACAGGCTCTTTTATCTGTTCTACATCCGCTTTTAAACTCCAGGCCGCCGTTTTCCTGAGGAGTGAATAATAGTCCCCGGCACGCTGGGCGGCGGCAGCAATAGGCGGACGCGCTCGTCCTTCGGTTCTGCGGGGCTACGGCCGCCTCGGGGACCGGCGCCGGGAGGAGCGTCCCCGCGCTCCGGGCACCGGCACCTCCGGGCCAGGAGCCCCGAGCGCGGCGGGGCGGGTGGGCTGGACGCGGGGGCTGCGGGCGGCTCCCGGAGCTGCCCCGGTGCGGCCGCTGCCGGCGGGAGCTCCGCAGCAGAGCGGGCCCGGCGGGTCTCGGCCGCGGCTGTCGGCGGCAGCCTCTGGTCCGGCACTCGCAGGGTTGAGCTCTGGCCAAGGGACTGCGGGATGGGCCACGGGGCCGTGGGAAACCAGCTCGGGGATCTTTGCTGCCAGAAGCAGCGTGCAGCAGCTGCGTGTTGTTTCCATTCTCACCGGCTTCGGTGTTGGGGAGCTTTGGAAGGCGAGGGATTAACGGAGAGCTGAATGCTGCAGTTGCTTGTCTTTATTCCCGTTTTGAGAGACCGTGTTTGCCAATTCATTTGAGGTGTTTACACCCCTGAAGTTGTCTTATGAATCTTTCCTGTGTCCGACTATAACTGTTTCAAGACAGACAAGATAATGTACCAAGGTCCATGTCTTTGTAACTATGCAGGGTGGTTAGAAGTATTAATCTGTTTTCTTGGAAGTTTTTGCTTTTTCCTTTCCTTGCAGGCTTTTCAGATGTCTTTTCAGAAGAACTGCATCTGGAGCACTATGACAGCAAACAATATATTTGGGAAATATGTAAGCAGTTTAACAATGACTCATGGGGACAGTCTTTGGGATAAGACTTATTAGCAATCCTCAGGTGGCAACTCTTGACCTATTTATCTCACAACTCTAGGAGATGATCAGAATGCCAAAATATCCTTCAATTCCTGTGCACCAAAGAGAATGCCAAAATTGCAGCTGGTCTATATGATCTACCCTGACATCATCTTTTTGCCTGAGATCTCTGGCTCAGACTGTCCAATCTGATATTGCTCTTTATGTAAAGACATAAAAAATTCATATAAGGGTAATAGTAAGAGTATTTAAAGAAATCTTGTGTTATTAGCAAAAATGCAATATTTTCATCTTGAAGTAGAAGGAAAGCAAAATTCTTCTGATGGATTAGTGAAGTTTATTTTCTAATTCAAAATACCTTTGTTTGGTTCAGTTGACAGACCAACTTCCTTTTAATTTTTTTTTCAAAATCTTCTCCAATAATAAAAATATGCACTTTTTTCTCTCTCTCTTTTCAGATAGATGCTATTGAACTGTTAGCAGAACAGTGGGAAAATTGGTTGATTCAGTGGAAAGCTTCAATACAGTAGCAAAAACAGCTTTGGTAAGTGTTCACAAATGGCAACGTGTCTCTGTGCCTGATGTAATTTTTTTATGAAGTAATTTACACTGATGTTTTTTACAAAGACCTCAGAGCTGGGGTAATTGTGATGTGCCACCTGGGCATCTTCTCTAACTCTGGAAATGAGTGAATTGCAGGTGATATAATAAACCCCTTTAGTTAACTGGGAAAAAAATGTATAGGTATGGTTCCATGTTAGCGAGGCAGCAGCTGATCCCAGCTTTGGAGCACTCTCATTGCAAGCCACATGAAAGCAACTGGAGCTTAAGTTTGGGATCTGGTCGTGTGCATGACCAGGAAGAGGCCAATCCCCACTGCACCTTTTCACCCATGTGCTGCTGCTGGTGTTGGCTCTTCCAAGACAGAATCAGCAGCCTGGAGCAGAATTGCTCTCCAAGAGACCTTAGGATAAATGGAGCATTTGGCCAATGCCAGAAATGAGAGACAGGCGGGAGAGAAGCCCTTTGGGTAACACTGGAAGATAGAAATGAGTCATTGGTCCTGGGGAGGTGACAAACACTTGTGAAGGAGATGGGTTTTCAGAAGCAAAGAGTTCAAGCCCCTATGAAATAAATAATCAGAGAGACAGAGGAAGTGGCTCTATTTGAGTGCAGTGTGCATGAAGTGCAGTAAAGGTTGAGTGATACGATGCCAGCCCTTGGTCTGCTCAGTGCTGAAGGTGGACAAGCAGGATTTGGGCTTTACCACAGGAGATGGGATGTGCCAGAGAGACAGAAGAGAGTGAGTCCGAGCTGTGCTCTAACTGCAGTTACAGAGCACAAGCTGGAATAGTAAGAGGTGAGAAAGAGAGCTCCCAGAGATGATCAGGTCAGTGACTGACAGGCAAAAATGGATCAGTTGGAACAGATTTGCATTTCTGGAGGGTTTTACAGAGAAGCGCATATGTGGCCTTAGAGCACTTAAAGCACTGCAAGAACAGGCAGTTGTGAGGAGTGATCACTGTCCGGCACGGTCTGAGTCTGATTCAGTAGGACTGGGCAGCTCTATTTTCCTTTCAAATAGTTACTGAGAGAGAGTTCCTTGTTTTGGAATCTAGTTTTCTTGTATGTCTCTGGAATTTTTTCAGCTCTCTGCTTTCAAGGCCATGGGCACTCAACCTGTACCTGCCTTTGGAATGGGAGGACAGCAAACCTCAAGCTTTGGGCTGTCAAGTAAGTTCCTGTTCTAAGAACCAAAACATTTAAACCTTTTCTGTAGTTTGCTGCTGCTGCATCTTTGAAAAACAGCAGTGGTTTAGTGTCCCTGGGGTAAGCCATTCTGATATATTTGGTAAATTCTCTACTTGCAGGCTTTCCTGTCAGCAGCAGCAGCAGCAGCAGTACCAGTGCCAGCAGTTTCTCCTTTAAAACTAGTTCCAACCTCACGAATTCCACATCATCTGGGAGCAGCCCTGCTGCTGGGAGCTCTCCTGCTGCTGCAAATCCTCCTGCATTTGGGACAGCATCCTCTCCTAGCGCACCCCAATCCGTCGGCTTTGGCAGCCCGGCCGCTCCATCCGCAGCCTCCTTCTCCTTTAAAACAGCTGCCACAGCTGGTGGCTTTGGGACTTCTGGCTTTTCAGGCTTTGGCAGCGCTTCTGCTGTGAACTCTGCAAGCACCACTCCACTCCCAGCCTTTGGAGCCTTCAGTGCCACCATAGCCACTTCTGCCTCGCCTTCGAGCGGTGCTTTATTTGGACAGAGCGCCAGTGCCTCTGGACATGCTGTCACCTCAGCCTCTGCTGCAGCCAGCAGCTCCAGCCCTGCCTCCGAGAAGTTATTCACACCCAAGAGCGAGTTATCAGCTGAAGAGTGGCAACAGTTTGAAGCAAAGGAGTTCACAATTGGAAAGATTCCTCTTAAGCCACCACCATTAGAACTTTTAAATGCTTTCAACCTTTTAAGTTTTTTCTGAAATGTTGTTCATTTTTATTTCCTTTCTCAATTCTCTTCTGCAGAAATAAATGTGCAAGTATAAACTTTTGAATGTTAATTTGGGACAGACTTTTTACATCTGAGAGATGAACTGTTGAAACTAAAATGGAACATTTCCTTCTATATGCTGTCCTGTGAACTTCTGTGCAAAGACTGTGTGAAAAATATGGTGTCGAAAGAGAGAATGTTTCATTGACGTGTTTAAAATCTACCCTTTGATCAATTTATTGTCTCCAAGTGCACGCTCCATGACTTGTAGGACTGGCCACAAAAGCTTTTTTCCCCATTGCTCCAACAATTGGTATTGTAACTTTATTGGTGAGCCCATTGGTGATAGTTATTACTGAATGTGTGCCTTTGCTGTCTATCAAAAATCTGTTGCTTTATTCCCCAGCTTTACTGAAACATGAACTGTGAGGGATGCCTCCACACTTTCCTCCAGTCCCCTTCACTCATTATCAAAATCATCCAGCATCCTAATGTTTATATCTTTAAGTTGACCGTTCCTGCCCATAAATGGCATGTGGATTCAGGTCAAAAGGAGGGGCCATTTCTGACCCCTCAACCCCTGCTTATCTTTTTGCCTTCCCTAATACCATTCTCTTTTCATACACATTAAAAAGGGGTTCAATATAGCCTGCATATCCCACCGGTTAGGATTATGAGTCAGCATGATAGTTTCCAAAAGCTGATACATTCCTTCAGGATTCTCTCATTATAAACAAGCAGATCATTTCCAATTAAAAAAAAATCAAAAGCAGAACAAGGAACTTGTCCAGAAAAAAAACAGCTGTTGCTCTGCACCCACCCAAGTGGTTTGTCTTACCACTGGCTCTGAGTACAGGCCACAACAGGACTAAAATCCTCACCTCCTGTGTTCTCTTTATTTTGATCTATATCCTCTTTATCCATCTCCACCCTGCTGTTATAGGGGTGTGGAATGAAAGGAACTAACATTTGCACATAAACCCTCATCCCATTTTCCAACATCCACTGTAATATATTAATCTGCAATTACACATTTTCCCCATACTTCAGTTTATAAAGCGGCCACCAGTGATGACAATATCTCTTCATTTTATCTTTAGTCACTGGATCTCCCCTAAACATATTCTGTTTTTTTGGGATGCATCCTAGACAGCTATGGGGAGGAACTGTTAAATCTACATTAAATATAATAATATAATTATAATTAATATAATAATATAATATATATAATTATAATAATATTCAAGATCCCAAATTCCTTTACCCTTAGGTTCAGACCTTCAATATTTACAAGACCCCAGTCCCCCTGATTGGTTACACTGCTAAACATATACCATTTGAAAGAGGAACACTAGTGCACCTACCAATCTAAGAATTCTGTTCCCCTTTTGGCACTTTCTTGACTCTCTCTACGGCACCTTTGAGTTGCTCACCACCTTGGTACTGGAGAGGATTTGATGGAGTCCATGATCAGCTGGTCAGTAGATGCATGTACATGTACAGTCTCATCCAATTCTCCATTGCCAGAGGAAGCAAAGTGGTCTAGTCAAGGCTTTTGGCCACCCCACCTGGATACCCAGAACTCCTAGATATGGATTCTGTTGGGTGCAAGAAGCAGATTTGCACACAGAGTAGAGTTCATAGAATATCCTGAGTTGGAAGGGACCCACAAGGATCATGAAGTCCAGCTCCTGGCTTTGTACAGGATCATCCCCAAGAGCCATACCATGTGCCTGAACTCTGTCAGGTTGGTGCTGTGACCACTTCCCTGGGGAGCTTTTCTACAGTGCCCAGCCACCCTCCAGGTGAAGAACCTTTTTCTAACATCCAACCTAAACCCCCCTGACACAACATCATGCCATTCCCTCAGGTGCTGGCACTGGTCACCAGTGAGAGGAGATCAGTGCCTGCCCCTCCACTTCCTGTGACATTGCAGACTGCAACTCAGTCTCATCTTCTCCAGGCTGAGCAGACCAAGTGTTCCTCACACAGCTTCCCCTCAAAGCCCTTGATCTTCATTGCCTTCCTTTGGATGCTCTCTAACAGCTTTATATCCTTCTTGTACTGAGGTGCTCAAAACTGCCCCCAGCAGTGGAGGTAAGGCTGCCCCAGTGCAGAGCCAAGCGGGACAATCCCCGCCTTGCCTGGCTGGCAGTGCTGTGCCTGATGCACAGAAGTCTTTGTTACATGGCTGTACACATGGGTGCTAGGTGGTGAATCCCTAAATGCAGCACAGCCTCTGTGTGCCAGCCACCCACTTTTATACACTTCAAACAGCAACAGGTCAGCATCTGCCATACAGACACAAGAACCTGAAGCTATACTGTACATACAGCGGGAGGACTAGAGAAAATGGCCTTAACCTGAGACAGGGGAGATTCAGGTTAGAAATTAGAAAAAAGTCTTCCTCTGTTAGGGTGGTCGGGCATTGGAATAGGTTGCAAAGGGAGGTGGTGGAGTCACTGCAATATGTGGTACAATTTTCTTTAAAAAGGGTGTTGTTTAATGCTTGATCTTTATCTACTTTCAAGCCCAACCAACAAGAAGGGACATTAAATTCCCGAAACAGATAGCAGCTGGCACGCTCTAAATAATGCTCATGTGTTAGAAAAACAAATTACCTGTAGGTAGAATTGCCTTGTTAAAGTTCAGGGCTGGACATGCTTCAGTGATCTCATACCTGGGTGAGGTTAACAAAGCTTGGGAAGAAGGATGAACCACTGATAGTGGACACAAAGAATGCAGAATTCACGGGCCACAAGGACATTTGTCAGAACCCCCAAGACAAGGAAGAAACTAATAAAAACAACTCGACAACTGTGCTGAAACCAGCTCTGACTGGGTGAGAGGTAATTCCAGCAGGGGGATCTGAGACCACCAACTCATGGACCACTATCCCAAGAAACCCATGGGCCCACAAGAAGAGAAAACTGAGCATGCAGACTAATTGGCATGAGAAGTGAGAGAATAATTAACCAATAGAAGATAGAATATGAATTAATAAGAGAGCTATGTAACTTGTAGCCAATGAACTCTAATTCCTTTGTTTGCTAAAATACATAAATAGCAAAAAGTTTTGATAGTTGGTGTGCTCGATTTGTGGAATACTATCTAGCACCCAGGCTTGTGCAACTCTGAAATAAACAGTCTTTCAAATTCATAGTTTTTGGCTTGTCACTTGGTAACGATCCAATTTTTGCAGACAACATCACCATCCCTGGGAGTGTTTAAGAAGCACCTAGATCTGCTGGGTGATGTGGTTTAGTGGATTACAGCGGTAGTGATGGGATGGTGGTTGGACTGGATGATCCTAAAGGTCTGTTCCAACCCTGATGATTCTGTAGCCATGGGCTGTACCTTTCTCAGTCTCCCCATAAAGACACAGCACAGAAACGTCTTACCGCGCAGGCTGCGTGAAGGGCCTTAAGTGAACGACGGGCCTTCACAGCCGAGGGCGGCTATTTTACTGTGTAGCTGAAGCCTTGGACAGCACAAATCAAACCCGTGTTTGGCTTTATCAGCAGCTCGTTACTGTTATCCCTTGGTTTGACTGGATGTACGTGCCGGCCTATTCCCGCCTCTCGGTGGCAGCCCGCGTTTGCCGCCGGCTCTGCTGGGGCCGAGCTCCGCGCGGCCTCACGGCGCGCTCCCGGCACGTCAGAGCCGCGCGACGGCGGGGCGGCCATGGGCGTCTGCCAGTTCTTCCTGCGGGGCTACTGCCGCTTCGGGGACCGCTGCTGGAACGAGCACCCCCGCGGCGGCGCAGGCCGCCCCGGCCCTCCCCCGGCCCACGGTACCCACACTGCGCCGGGACGGGGCGGGAGGGTGCGCTGGGCCCGTCCCGGGGCGCTCCGTGCCGCCGCTGCCGGCGGGAGCTCCGCAGCAGAGCGGGCCCGGCGGGTCTCGGCCGCGGCTGTCGGCGGCAGCCTCTGGTCCGACACGCGCAGGGTTGAGCTCTGGCCAAGGGCCTGGAGCACAAGTCCTGTGAGGGTGCTGGGGGTGTTTAGACTGGAGCAAAGGAGACTTGGGGAGGCTTACCGCTTTCTATAAGTGCCTGAAAGGGGCTGTAGCCATGTGGGGGTCAGTCTCTCCTCCCAGACAACCAGCGACTGGAGGAGACGACACAGCCTTAAGCTGCACCAGGAAAGGTTTGGCTTGGGCATTCACAGAAAGGGTGACGAAACGTTGGAGTGGGTCCCCAGGGAGATGCTGGTGTCACTATCTCTGGAGGTGTTTAAGGAAGGCCTGGATGTGGCACTTGTGCCCTGGTCTAGTTGACAAGGTGCTGTTTGGTCATAGGGTGACCTCGATGGTCTCAGAGCTCTTTTCCAGCTTAACTGATCTTGTGATTCCGTGACTGTGGGATGTGCCACAAGGCAGTGGGAAGCTGTTCTCGTGGGCAGCGAGCAAGTTTGCAGCAGCTATTTGTTGTACTCAGTGAAATCTGTTTCCATTCTCATCAGCTCTGGATGTTGGGGAGCTTTGGGAAGGAAAGGTGCACGACAGAGAGCTGAGGGCTGCAGTGATGGCACGGCAGGAACTCACTGCAACCACTTGTCCTTCTTCCTGCTGGAAGGAGGGTCGGGGCTTTGCCTGTAACAACATGCACGGGTGTGTCTCAAAACGAAACTCAGGAGTTCCCCGTGCTGGAGCAGAGCCCCTGCTGTAGTTATGGAGGCAGGAGCCCCTAACATAAACTTATGGTGTGTTAAATTTAATTTTTTTCTGCTGGGGTAGTTACTTCATGAAACAACCTAAGCAAACCTGAGCCAGTGTCTTTCTGCAGTGCCACAAGTTGTTGCAGGCACAGCGATCTAGTTGAAGGTGTCTCTGCTCGTTAAGGCACAGGGCAGATGGAACTAGATGTCTTTTAAAGGTGCCTTCCAACCCAAACTGTTGCATTTGAAAACTACCCTGGATAACTCACTAGCTAAGCTGACTAAATGATGAGATTAACTCATTAGGAAAAAACCCACATTTTAATTTCAAACATTTTATTGTCATTGTAACACTAGTAATACTTACAGTTTTTGTTGGTGATGTTAAGTCATATAATGGTTAAAAATTTCTGTTCTTTGCTTTTTGTTTGGTTTTTTTTTAATTTGAAGTTACTAGCGGAAGAGGAGGAGGAGGATGGGGTACCTCTAACCAGAGATACAGTAATGTTATCCAGCCGTCTTCGTTCAAGTCTGATACATGGGGTGGCAGCAGAGATCATGGAAGAGGATTCTTTGGCTCCTCTGACTTTGGATCATCAGGTGGCAGCAGCAGAAATGCAGACTTTTCACAGAACAGGTTCTCTGCCTTAGCCAACAGTCAAAGTGTTGCTGAGGGCTCCAAAGATGAAGAGGAGAGACTTCTGTAAGTTATAGTCCTGTCTTACTAAAAGCATTTAGAATGAGGAGGTTGAAAGCTTACTGACTTCCTAGAGATAACGCAGAGGACAGGATCATGAGGAGAAAGCTGGGACACGGGAAGAAACATAGCGAACATCATTTGATTCTCTGGAATGATGCTGTCATAGGGAGGAAGTGATGCTTGTTTGGGAGCTGGGCAGATAGTCAACTGTGATATTAGTAAGATGGTGTGGTATTTAAATTGTGGTCAGGAGGATAAGGAAGGAAACAGAAAATAAGAAATCAGAGCCCCTTTAAGAAAACTAATTTTACTTGGTTTTTTGACACTTAAGACTTAAGATTTTTCTGCTAACAGTATAGCTATTGAAACCAGGTTTCACAGAGGTGTATGTTCCAGTCAGTTACAAGTGACCAGCACCTGCAGCTACAGGGCAGGAACTGAGAACAGCACAGTGTGATTTCCCAAAGAAGCAAGGTTTTGGAAAGACTTTCCATTACTTTCTTTAAAATGACATTAAGAAAAGACCTGGTTTTCATGACAGCAGGTTTTTGACTCTGGATTAGGATCCAAACCAGTTGTCTGAATTGGCTGTTACTGGCATTTTTTGGGTTGACCATGCAATTTCCCCTTCATCTGTGATTTTGTTTTGTTTGTTAGTGAATGTGTAGTGAAAGACATGGAAATTTGGGAATCTTCTGGACAATGGATATTTTCATGTTACTCACCAATGAAAGAAAAACTGAATGTCTCAGGTAGGTAATGTTTTCAGTGTTGTGTTCTGCTGCTCTTTAGGA